GTTTCCTCTTAAACAATCCCACTCCATCACAGGAGGAAGAAACACATACCGTGAAGTCAATTTCCTAATTATGCTTCATTTCCTGCCAAGCCGACACACTTTTGCATCGTCATAAATCATAGGAAATATCCGTCTCCATAAATCATACACAGAGATTTAAATCAGCTGTTTGTACAATCCAGTGCGTGTATCTCAGATGGGCTAATGTGTACAAAATGTGTGATAATTAAAGCCAGGCGGAGCTCTCTGTGGGGAATACCATTTCCCAATGTCTATCGAACAGCGCTGCGCTCGATACCTCCTTCAGCTGTTCACAGCTGAGCTTGCAGGGCTGCAGTAGCACAGATAAACCTCTCAGCTGATCCGTTAGCAGCTTGCTGTGGCAGCAGACTGAAGCCTGGTTTAAGGTCACTTCACCGGTGACCTTTAACTGCCTAACAATTAAAAATGGCGCTGACAGGACCTGCGGTCTTCTCCTGAATAAAAGGTGTCAAGAAAGGTTCTCCACATCGCTGAGCTTTCAGCAGCATCTCACTCTCTGTATGCTGAGAGTGTCTGAGTTCCTGCACCGATCGCTCGTGCTCTTTCTCTTCATACATTTTTGTTGAGCTCAGTTCTGTTTCATGTTTTGCCTGCTGGAACACAAAAGCTTCACACATTTGGGACAAATAACGTGTTTCTTGTTCTTATTATTCTTAAATGGATGCAAAGGTCAACAGGATCATAGAGCAAGACAAACCAAAGATCAGCCTACCTTAGCTCTGATGTCACTGCTGGGCACGCTGGCGTCTACGTGGGTGCAGCGGTGCGCGTAAATTAGGCATTTAGTTATCCCTTGTTCCTAAAATATCCACCTGTCCAACTGTTTCCAGTTCTGATGTGATACAGATACCTTGGCTTCTTCTATCTGCAGACGTCGAGTTATTAGCAATTAGGCCGTAATCCTCACTGTGAGGAACCCGGTGGGAATGCTGTGCTGTGTTAGACAACATCAGGCCTTACTTAAACATTGTTTTAATTATTTTAGGAAACTAAATCCAACACATAATTATGTGCAACAATATACGCTCACTGACTTTATTAGTAGAATAATAAATGAAAACAGAAGCTGTTTCAGGCACGAAGCGCCTCCAACCTGCTGTTGTTGCTGTTATCGCTTCTGCTTTAGTGGAAGCTCGAAAAACAAAGACTGGGACTGATTCATACCTGATCCAGCTTCACTCCGGACCAACATCCAGGTCAAACATCCCCATCTGTTAGCTGTAAATGAATGATTTCAGGTCATTCCTATTTCCCCATATTTTCAGAGTGAATTGTCCTGATAAACATCCTAAAAAATACGTTTGGAATCATGTATGATTTTGGTTCCACTTCTCACGTGTGCACCACTTTGTGTTGGTCTTTCACCTGGAATTCCAATAAAATCGATTCATGTTTGTGGCTGTAATGTGACAAAATGTGGAAAAGTTGAAGTTGGCCGAATACTTTTGCAAGCTGCTGTATAAGACCCATAAAGAGGGCCTCAACTTATTTATAAGGATGTTTCTCAGGACAATTCACTCTGAAAATAACTTTTTCATATTTTGTCTTTGTCACAACAATTTCAGTGTTTAAAGTTAAACAGTTTAAGAGACAAAAACTTCATTTAGAAACATTAATATTAGCAGTATTGAGACAGATGTATGTAACATGAGTGGTATAAGTATTCTGTGAATCTACTCTCAAAAGTCCAGTTGTTGTTGTTTTAAAAGAAAAGCTGCAGTTGCTTGGGTGGAGTTTTTTAGGTGGGTCTCTGGGTGGGAAAAAATAAACACAGTGAATATCTCTTATCTGCAAACACCATTTGTTACACGAAGCCAAAATTAGCCCTGTCAGGTCTGAGTGGACGGGTTCCTTCCCACATCTGAAAAGAATGAGCTGATTGTTAACCGGCACACAAATCAGACGCGCCATAAATCAAAGAACAAACTGAATTTTCATCAAGTCAAAGCTGCAGTAAACCAGAGGTATTATGCATTTCATAATAAGGAAAACCACTCGAGGCATGTGCATCAAACTCAAGGCCCATCTCTCATTACAGGTTCTCGGTACGTTTGGCCTGCTGTGAAGCATCCTGTGTACACACCAAACCAAACATCCATCCATCCATTTTCTGCAGCCTATCCGGTCGTGGGGACAACAGTTTAACCAGACACCAGACTCCTTCTCCACAACCACCTCCCACATCTCTTCTGTGGGAACATTGACGAGTTCCCGAGCTAGTCTAGACTTTGACTGAGTGTCCTGGGTGTGCCCCAAGCTTCCTGCTGCTAGGACATGCCCAAAACACCTCATACAGAGGCATCCAGAAAGCACCCTGATACTGGAGACTGGTTCTGGAACACGAGCTGTGCCCGGCGATAAAGCTTGGGCTGTTTTCCCACCTGAGAGCTGACGCTCCATGTCCCAGTAAGCAGCTCCAACAGTCTGGGAACGTTTTAGGTGACACCCATGAGACCTTAATGACTCACACGATGGTAGGCTGGATGGATTTCCTTTACACCTGTTAAGAATGATGAGAGACTAATTTATGCTTAATAGGCTGTGTAACATTCGTGATGAGTTCCAAAAACCTTGATTTGGCTCCATAAAGATAAAAAATTGTTTGTTTTGGTCAAAGATTGCTTAAAAATGTCTCCTTTGATTGATGTTAGATGAGTTGGAGCTCACAGACTTCCTGTTTAACTCTTGACATGTTGCTCATTTCCCCGTGCAGCTCAACACATGCTAAACAAGCACAGGTTCAGGAATATGGGATCATAGCATATATAAGATGAGTTATAAGATGTCCATTTGGATATCCCAAACAGGTAAAATTATAAATAAGGAAGCAGACGCGAAGCCAGACCTAATGTAAAGGCGGTTATTATCAAGACTCAGCAGCTGCTGCACCGTCGGAACAAGTGCTTTCTGGACTAAATGAGCTCCTGTTGGGGTTAAAACACAAACTGAACAGCCCTAATATTCTCAGGTTCCAGTCCCACTGAGCCTCTCTCTGCCTCCACCTCCTCAGTTCAGTATTTTGGGGATGGGGGTGGGGGTCATACCACTGGCATGCCTCAGCTTTGATTAAAGGAAATGCTTACACCAGTCCTTCTCCAAGAGAAACAAGCCATCCGCTCAGCACAGATGGTTTTATCCAATAGCTCGCAAGCTTCACGGGCAGGCAGGCAGACAGGTGTGCTCGCTGCTGACGGTAGGACGCACACGCACACACACGCACACACGTTACTGCTGTTGCGTGCGTTCTGCAGCAACACCATAGATGCAGTCATCTCTACAGCTTCACACATTGTCAGGTTTTCCTCAGAGTCTGCGCTTTCTCGAGTAATTGGAGGAGGCAGAGAGAGATTATGAAACAGACCAGGACGTGAACATGTTCAAGGCCTGTTATAACGCACGTCTCCCTCACTGACTCCGAACAACAAAGAACTGATAGTTTCTAAAAGTCTGATTTAACAATTAGGAGAAGCTGAGAGTGATACTTTCTTTTCTACCGTTTATTGTGAGGAAATGAGAAAATCTACAATATTAAATATATTAAATAAATATATGACAGTATATGGTTATATGATATATTTTGAGCATGCACAACCAGAAGAAGAACCTGGGGCAGACACAGACTCCTGAGAGTCCCATTGGAAATGCTGGAGCAGAGTGAGGTCTGGGGATCTCTGCAAACTCTCTAGTATCCACAGCCCAGGCTCAGAGCAGCAGCTGAGGGTGGATGGACGGATGCTAAATGGACTGGTTCTTCATACCTCGCGCCTTATTCACAGCCATTCACACAAGCGGTTTCTTCCATGCTTAGGTGCTTCACATCACTCCGATGGATCCTTGGTTTAGGATATTTGGCATGCAGGCATCTATTCACCAACCTTCCAGTCAGATGACCTTCTCTACCTCGTGAGCTGCAGGCACCCGGGATGGATAAATGCAGTGATGCATTTACAAGTGAGCTGACAGAGTTTCTTAAGCCTATCTAGATCTAGTTACTTGTAACTGCTGTGTTGTAAGTCTGCTCAGGCTGTTCGTTTGTTTTATGACTTACATAATAATAATTGGTCAAATTGGTTCTTCCTCAAGTGGCGATGAAACTCTTGAGGCTTTCTCCAAAACCAGTCAGTCCCCACAAACGCCAGTATGAACCCCCTCCAAGGTCATCAGCTGACCTTAACCCTGTGCAAACAGAGCTGTCTTTTTTAAACTGGTCTCCTGAGTTTTGACAGTTAGCACCTATGATAGCCCCTCTGGGGTTTAAAAAGATGCTGCTTTAAAGCAGAAACGAAGATGTTTACAGCGTGCTACAGAAATAATTTTGGTAACTGAAGTCCCCGAACTGGATCTTTGGACCAGTTTGTGCTGTTAGTCAGTTTTGGAGTAAGGTACATGTCGGAGTGATGCAATTATCTCTGTGGTTAGCCAGATCGTCTGAGACGTCTGTGCTCCAGTTTTATCTGATCTTATTTTATGGGGCTTAGTGCTAACTTACAGATATATGTACAATTTATTAATGCAGCTGATAATTCACAGCCAGCTCCGGCTCCAGAGGAAAAATGCTGACACTGAGATTTCAAAACGTGGAGTCCACAGCCCAGTGGGTTACATCACAGAGGCTTTGACCATCTTTTATATGTAGTCACCCAGATGATGAATTCAGCGCCTGCAAATCTACTTGCAGAGTCTATAATAAAGAGATGGAGCTGGAAATGAGCAGAACAGGTCCCCTTTAATAGGCACAAAGTTAAAAAACCTAACTCCTCGTAATTTTAACTAGACCTTTGCAACAGTTTATCAAGCCAGCCAAGTAAAACACTCATGTTCCACATCAAACAGTCATTCCTGGGTTAAATTGTAAATTTGGCAGCTGTAAATCTCACAAATTCCTCCGATAGTTTAGTCTGCAGATCCTCGAGGGGGTGGGGGGCAGAGGTTTTCACTGATAGGAGTTTGGAGCTCAGTCAATTAGACATTTTTTTATTGAACACGAGTTTATGCAGCTTTCCCAAATTTGGAGCAGGTCAGATGAGCACTTCATCCCTGGCTCGTATTTATACATCAGAAATTCTTGACATGCTTTACAAAAAGGTCTTGGATAAGGCATACAAATGACTTCATCAGATAAGTGCTGGAAAAGAGCATTTTTAAGTATAACACTTCATTTTTCCAAAGCATTTTAAACTCTTTACAACAATCAGCAACTTGATACAAATCTAAGAAGAAGGAAAAAGTCCGTACGAAACAGTCCAAACGAGTCTCTCTTCATTGGGTCGTGTTTCCATTATTTGGATTGTACTGGATGCATATTGCTCATCACTACCAACATCAGCATTACACAGTGAGTGGGCGTTTCAGAGCATCACCTCCGTGAGTTTATCTTCATCTGTTTAGTCTTAAATAGTCTCTGGTATGCATTCTTGTAAGCCCACTTGAGTGTGAGGAGTAATGTGCGTTGCATAGCAGTGAGCCTGAAATACCAACTCCAGTTTTAGCTCTGAATATAATATTGAAAAGTCTTTGCTGTGTCTGCTACCTGCACCCGCACGACTCCACCACCATGTCCTCGTATTGCTTGTAGACGACGTTATTGGCCGAGTCGATGTAGAGGATGCTGATCGGGCTGAGCCGTGTCGGGACGCAGCAAGTGGGCGGCGTTGACTCCGGGTCCATGGAGTTAATCAGGGTTTGTATGATAGCGTGGTTGGTCGGCTCCAGGTGTGAGCGGATGGGAAAATCGCAGGCGCCGTCGCAGTGATAGGCGTCGTACTCCAGCGGCGCGATGATCCAGTCGTCCCAGCCCATCTCCTTGAAGTTGACGTGGAGCCGTCTCCGGTGGCAGCGCAGCCTGGCCTTCACTGTCTGGTGCTGGGATATGGACTGTGGCAGGGACTGCTGCACGGGTTTTTTGGCTCCCCTCGCAGCAGGTGCCCGTCTCATCCGTCGCTGGGTGAACAGGTACTCGTAGACTGTTTTGTTGTCGTGGCCGGACCGCGCTTTGATCTCTTTGTAAAAAAGGTCACGCTTCTTGCTTTTCCCAAATGCCAAGAAGAAGGCTTTTTCCTTGTTGGTCCTGCCGTGTCGAGCGAATCCCAGAGTGCGAAGGTCCATGGGGCGACCGCCTCCGTGCTCCAGCACTTCCAGTTCAAAGCACAGCTCCTGGGAATGCTGGCCTTTCTGGGTTTTGAAGCCCCTGAACACCTTCCAAACGTCAAACACTTCCCATGTGCTGCTGAACAGATCCTCTACGGCCTTCATCTGGACAAGAACGGCCTTTTGTTTGCCTGAAGTGCAGGTGTGCAGCCTTAGGAGCGGTGACGGGACTCCTCCTCCTTCTCCTCCTCTGTAGCCTATCAAGACTCTGCGAGGGTCAGGCAGGCGCTTCCTCAGGATGTGTAGCTCGGCCCCCAGGAGCCCATCCCGTTCCAGAGAGCTGATGTTGAAAAGATACCTCTGCCGTCGCAGCTGGGGCCCACGTTCATCTGTGATTAGAAACGGAAGCGCAGGTAAATATTCACCGACAGGCAAAAAGAAAAATAGTGTAACAAACTTTTCTAACACAACACAGCAAGTAAGGACCGTTGAGTAAATGAATGAATCTGTAATGTGAGCCCCAGAGAGCCATCAGCTGATGGCCACCCGTCAGGTCATGAAATACACTGACAGGTCCATACACTTCCATAACTGACTCTTTCTTTCTTTTTTAACTAAATCTTTTACGAGATCTCCCTACTTGAAATCTTCATTGAACCCATTTTAATATTGTCTGATCTCAGCTTTTGAAATATAAAGAAATACTGTACTTTCCTTCAGTGCTGCTCCCCATCACAGACTATAGACTTTTATTCATGACCCTTTTTATCATCACAATCTTGGTATTGAGCTGTGGGTCTGACTGTGAAACCAAGTGATGCTGAAGACTCACTGGACAGGGATTTGTGATTGGCATGTATTTAGCCGAGCTGGAGCCTGACCTGGATAAACATCCTTTCTCTTAGAATGACCATAATGTAGAAAATAAGTGTGCTCTTCTGCATTGGCTCTGCTGTTATTCTTTTGTACTGTTTACATTTTCCCTCCAGGTAAAAATGGACCTAATAGTTTTTCTGGATCTTGTCTGTTTTATAAAAACATTAGTATTGTTTATATTTTTATTACCCTTTAAAAAAGGAAAGAACAGCATTCTTAACTTTATTTTGGGATTTCTTTTATTTTTGAAGACATCTCAGACTAAAACATCGTAATGGCTGCCAAGAGCGAAAATGTGAAGTGAACTACAGTTCCTCAAATATCCATTGATTCAAAGGTGTATCAATACCATCAAATGTTAAAATGTCCAACTTAACAACAAATATTTTTATATCCTGTTACAATTCAAATGGTTTTGGTTTCCATTTGCTTCCACTTCTCCTTTTCAGGGTCGCGGGGGCGCTGGAGCCTATCCCAGCTGTCACCCTGGACAGGTCGCCAGTCTGTCACAGGGCTAACACACAGACTGACAACCATTCGCACTCACAAGTCAGACTCTTGCTTCTTTTTGTTCAACGGGCCAGTGTTTGAAATCTTGGTGTAATATTTATTTTATTCTGGGCTTCAACTCGCTCTCATTCCTGTTTCTTTCATTTCAGACACATTTCTAAATTGCAACATATGGTTTCCTCTGCTGACCTGGAAAAACACATTCCTGCATTTGTGTCATCGTGTTTAGATTAATCCCCGTTTACTATCTTGGGCAAAGCATCTCTTTGCAGTACGAAATGCTGCTGCCAGATTATCACCCCTATTTTGTGCTCCTTATCAGGCTCCAAATAGATTTTAGGATTGGTTTTAAAATGTTTGTATTAGCATTTAGCACTAAACAGCTAGGCATATGTAGCTTCTTACAAAATACACCATCTTTGTTCACAGGCTCTCTGAAACACCCTAACCAATAGATTTTACATATTTAATGATGTTACTCAGACTGTATGGATGTAATGTAGCAATACAGACACCTGTTAATTAGTGCTATAGATGCAGTTTGCTAACAAAGGGCTACCAACAGCTGGCAACTGAGCTCTCTACCTTCTGGTCCAAATATGGTAACTCGTTGCTTTAAATAAATAAATCAATAAAAACATGGTGGTAGCCAAAATGTAAATGTTGAAGCTTCAAACCACAGATGCAAAAACTGGTGAATGAAGTCAGTTGCCATATCTACAATAAACTACTGCAGGCATTATGAAGGAAATCGACATAAATAATAAGAATGAGCATCCAAAGACTCGTGTTTAGAGTAACACTTTATGGTTTACTTTATATTGATTGTCCTCAAATTAAAGTAATGTCCTCACGGGTAAGTGAAAAGCTTTAAGTCCCCATAACATATGTAAAACAAGTATACACACTCATGCTGTGTGCACAGCATCAGAAAGCATGAACTGAATGGTGTAGATGGTTTTCTGTTGTTGTCAGTGAGGGAAACTGTAAACTTCCCTATCCAATGAAACCCATCAGATACATGTGTTTTAAATTCTCTGTGAGGACCCAGGTCGGCTAATATATTCTCATGATTCTGAGCCTAATTTATCCCTGATCAACCCTGAACCCTGAAACGAATTCTGAACCTTCAAACAGACCTCTGAACTACTGTCCTCATGTTCCACACATGTCCTCACTTCAAAGGTCAGAGAAATCACTCCGGTCCTCGCAAAGTTAGCTGTGCATATGCACACAAACTGCTTACATGTTCTCACAGCACCCCCTCCTGCTGTCCAGGACTTTATCATGCATTGAAAAGTACATTAGAACCAGGCCGGGAGACCGCAACGCTCTGTAAACAGGCCTGTTATTGTGGACCTGCAGCTATTCACAGCAGACAGACAGCAAACACACACACACTCCTCTTTGGACAGTCTGATTAAAGCTGAGAGGAATTTGGTTTCACAAACTCTCACGCACTTGTAAATCAGCGAGGATAAATAATGTTGGAGGGATGCAGAGCTCTCAGGTGTGGTCTTTATCACTTCAGAACGCTCAGAAAATCAGTCTTCCAGGAGCGGCTTGGAACAGATTATTGTGTATGTAAATGCAGAACACACAAGATTAAATGTTTGGCTTCTTAACTCTGACTTCATCCCTCTACTAACAGCTCTCAGGATGTCCAGTGGGGGCGGGGCTTTAAAGTAGCTGACAGAAGGGCAGCGAGCAGCAGCAGAGCTCTCAGGTGAGATGTCTGGCTTTGGCCCTTTGTCATCCAGTGAAAACTTATTTATATTATATTACTACTTATTACTTATTTATATTACTGTGCCAAAACAAGACTATCCAAAATTTACAAGATCAAACCAACCTCCTGAAACCAAACATCTCTGCTTTGCTTCTGAAAGGAGATTTTTCAAACTCATTTATTTATAACTCAGTAAAATTATAACTGACCAAAATTAAATAAGATTTACATTTCTTTTTGTCACATGAGCAGATATATCGAGGGCATCAAACACGTGGTTCAGGGGCCAAAACTGGTCCAGGAAAGGGTCAGAGTTGGCCGACTGGATGAGTTTATTAAAGCGTGTAAAGTACAGCGTTGTTATGGGTTACTGTTCATGGAGTAGTTTTACTCAGGAGTTAAAATTAATGGACAGTTTTATTAAGGGCTGTTATTAAGGGCTTTTAGCCTTTATCTAAGCAGGTGAGTGGAGAGTGGACAGGAACGCAGGGACAGAGCGCAGGGGAAGAGATGCAGCAAATAACCCGGGTGGATTCGACTACTGCAATAGCCTTAAAGTATGTGGGTCACCTGCTCAAACAAAGCTCCAAAACACCAAGATTTAGTTAAGAAAGACTCTAAAATTCAAATGTTTTGTGATCTATAAATTGAAAACTCGACATTTCAGGCTGATCACCACTCCTAAAATTATGAAAGTAATATAACTACAAAAAAACCTACTTTTGTCTGGAGAATGGCGCTCACTTGCACACATGGCTTCAGCTTTTTTAACATGCTGGCACCGGCCCAGGTGAAGAAGATTTCCCACTCTGGGGGAAAATGACCAAATCACTCCTAATCCCAGGCGGGTCACCAGAGCTGAGACAGAGAGATGGACTATTTAACTATTTGCACCAACTAACCTAACCCCACTAACTACACTTTGGGTGGTGGGAGGAAGCCAGAGTGAACTCACAGAGACACAGTGACAACATGCAAACGTCACACAGAAAGGCCCGATGGTGGAGTCGAAACCAGGTGTTCCTACCGAACTTTTAGTCGACTAATCAGGGTTTTAGCTGCTGTGCTTCACACACAGCATCATTGGGGGCCCCAGAGCAACGCCTTGCTCTAGGGCCCCTCAGGAGGTAGGTTCAGCCTTGCATGTGGCAGGAAGAAAGAAAGAAGGAGCGGCAGCAGTAACGGAGGAATAAAGGCAGAAAAAAGGAAGCGAGTAAGAGTGAATGAAAGGATAGAAGGTAAATAACGAGCGTCGGGGTGATCAGTTCCTCGTCTCAGCATGTGGACGAAGTCAGCAGCGACTCGCTGAACAAATAAAGGCCACATTAAAAGTACATTAAGTGGTGGAAATGTAAACCTTCAGCAGCAGCAGGAACATGAAACTGCGCTCATTTAAAGACGCTTCTAAAACTGTTTTACATCGTAAAGACAACATGACACGGAGGGCTGTGAGCACTGTTTATTTACCCTCACGAGGCCGTATATATCACTGAGAGCCGACCAGATGTTAGAAACACACGGCAGCACACACAGACTCACAACTGCAAAGGAATAAATATACATAAATATGTGCATACATGTGCACAGACATGTTCCAGACATTAAAACTGCTGAAAGTTTGACAGCAAACACAAATTATTCCTCTGCTACACTACCTGCTGTTACGAAACTAATTAGTTATTGGTCTTTAGAAAAATGCTTATTAGAATGCATTTCTAATTTCATACATGTAAACTCACTCCCTTGGTCCCCACTGTTTGGTTTTCTCCCACCAAAGTGCCAGATATAGACAAACATAGCTGCCATCACAGCTTGTAACCCCCTCCTGGCTGGTTACAATAAAGCCCATAAGCCCCGCCCACCGTACGCTTGCAGAGGTGACCCGAGCCAAACTGAAGCCAATCTGAGAGAGCCATTCCACTTCCTGTCAATCTCAAACTGGCTGAAATTCAAGTGTGCAGCGGAGGGTGCCCGTGAGAAAGTCCTCAATAAACAGGAGTGAAAGGAGCTAAATAATTATTTCCAGCTGTTTGTAGAAAAAAAGCCCAAGTTTTATTTTAGTTTTCACAAATCCAGCATCGATGATGTATGCGGCCTAAATTAAATCTACACTGGTGTCCTTTAGGTTTTTTTACACTGCAATTTTACAGCTGAAAATGAAACATATCTATTGGCTCAGCCGGTTCTGTCAGAAAAATCCCAGAAGAGCACCCTCCATGAACCTGGAAGTCCAGAGAGTGGGATCTTTTTAAAAAGGTGTATGTGTAAAGATTAAAAGCTGTAATCTGGTTTGATGAAAGTAGTTGTGATACACCTGCAGGCCTCTGTTTATAACTGAAAATCAAACACTCACATTTCTGTGTTCAAATGCAGTTTAAAACCTTCCAAAATTAAATGAAGGCATCATCGCTGTTTCTGCTAAAGATCAACTTCCTTCAAATTCAAGCCAAGCTGTCTTTTTCTTGTAATACCAGTTTGCACCACAAGGTGGTTTAATGAGTCAGTGTCAGCTTTTACATAAACATACATACATAAAGGAAGACTGAAAGAAAAATAGAAAAGTGCTTCTCATTGGCTACGCCTCTCAAAAAACAGATTAAACAGCAGGTGGGTGTGGCTTCTGTGATGGGAGGACCATATAAGGATATCTAATCTTACTGACGTCACACAGATCCAAATCTAGAAAAAAAATATCTAAAACTGAGAGTTCAGAGCAGCCTTAGCTTTTGAACGACTGACCTCAGTATATAAAACATCACATGACTGCGTACTGCTGGAAGAGGAGAAAAACTAAAAGGAGAAAATTACGTCCACTTGAACTTCTCGGCTAAATCACATCCTCTGTTAGCTCTGGATGGAGCTGTTTCTTTAAGCTAAGCTAACTGGCTGTCAGAATCTGACGCCCAGTTTGTTGAACGCTCCTTCTTATCATACTCCACTCACTGCTGACCTCCTGATTTTAACGCCACAATCCTCAGCCTGTGCCCTCAGCACCACCCTCGTCTGGTGCCCCCCACACTGGTCTCCAGTCCCTTAAAGCAGCTCTCATTCTGTGGCACCTGAAGTTCCAGTGACATCCTTTTTATACTCCCCATTTTGTAATTGTTAATGAATTGTGGATGTGAGGTCTGAACTTGTTGTGGATTCTAAAGTGAGACTTTGAAAGCAGCTAACAGCCCCTCTGCTCATCCTCTGGCTCCTCAGATCTCCTCTAACCTCCTGCTCCAGCTGCTTTTTTAATCCCCCAGAGTACCAGGGGCACAAACGCATCATGAAGTAGCTGTTCTGCTGCCCCCACAGCGTGGACCCCCACCCACCCATCACAGCTCAGCTGGGTGTGTGTCTACCACCATCCCTGCAGTAACAGCGTGTCACTGTCACTCTGTTTCTTTCATGGGACTGAAAAGTGACGTGGGAGCACGCAGAGAGGCTCGTGGGTGATGCGGTTACCTTGCCCTTTATCCACGAAGCTCGTGATGGTGTTGGCCAGGCCGGCCTCGTGCAGCGCGCTGCCGTTGACGTCACCGCTGGAGAGAGACCAGTACAGCGCGAGCATGTAGTCGTGCGGCGTCACGAGCGGCTGTTTGTGGCTCGCGGCCCCCCGCTGCGCCGCCGGAGCCGGCGCGCTATGGGCTCTCTGCGGGGACGCGGTGCGCGCAGCCGCGGCCGCAACTTTTCCCAAACTTCTCCCCGATGAACCTCCACCTCCTCCACCCGCTCGTGAATGCGCGTTAATGGCAGCGGGAGCGTGCGACTTATCGTGCGCATCCCCGCCGAGGAGCCGCGAGCGCACGGGATCCGTGCGCCCTGAGCTGGTCGCCCTGGTCGCCTCTCCTCTGATTACCGGCGGACCTGCGCGGACACGCGCCGTGGGGCCGGGATGCAGGTGAACCAGGGTCCAGCAGCTGAGCAGCAGAGACAGACGCGTCACAGCTTTCATCCTAAAGCGCGTTCGCCTCCCGCCAGGCTGTCATCGTAGCGAAGTGCAGTGAGATCACAAGGAAGCTGAAGCGGCAAAGAGCAGTAAATCCGAGTGGGTCATCCTCACGAGAAATGCACAAAAGCTGGTGCCCCCGCCTGAAACTCGCCAGAGACACGTGCCAGGCGGTGAAAGCAGAGACTGTAACGGACGTCTACAAGCAGAAGAAACAAATCCCGCACAGCTTTATTGTCCCACGCGTCATGTGTGAGGAGCATAGTGCTGGAGAGATGTACCCGGCACAGCAGAACGCAAAGCCCGGGCTGAGAGGCGCATAAACACTCCGCGGAACTGTTGGAAGTCTTGTAAGAAACTTCTTTAAATCCCCCTTTTTTTCTCTCAGAGGGAAGGATGGCGTAATGCCGCAGCCCTCCCTCTCTCTCTCTCTCCAGAGTTTGAACTCCGTCCAGTGAAAATATTTCACTCACACACCAACCTGCAGGTGCTCGAAGAACTCCTCCAGCGAACCTGAGCGCAGGAATTGGAAACGGAATTCCAGAAAACTGGTTTAATTACCGCGTGATGTCATGCTGCCCAAACTCATTTAACAGCGATATTTCTCCTCAAATCTTCCTCCCTCTTTTCCACCAATGACTCACTGAAGCTGCAACACGGAAAGGACCCCCCCCC